ATATATATATATATATTCATCGTGTAAGGCATTATGGTCGAAGATGGGTAGTACCAAAAAACTAATAGGAGACAAATAGGAGAAGCTTATCATGAAGATGTAGGTCACTTTGCTTATGAGAAAACTATAAACATATTGACTTCAAAAAATTAATATATTTGTGAAGAAATACATAGATCCTTATTTACATTGTCTCTACAATGAAAAAATTGTGGTAAGAAGTCGGGATTTTTCCATTCTAGCCCAAGTATTCGAGAGCACATGTAGAAAGAAAAAAACACATATATAATTACTGATATATCATCAACATTTGATTTAGCCATCGGAGGCTCATTTTGCCATCAAGGGCTCGTTTCGCCATCAAGGGCTCTTTCTGTCATCAATGACTCGTTTTGCTATCAAGGATTCATTTTGCCATCAATGTCCTGTTCTGCCATCAACGCCTCATTCTGGTTTATTTCTTCAACGTGTTTGGAATCTGAACGACTTCAAGATACAGATTTTGACAATTTCAGTGTTGAGCCATAATTTTCCAAAATTTTCAGAACTTATTCAGTAGAACTAACCCCTCGGTTTGGATTCAGATGGTATCAAAATGTTATCAAGGTATGTCTTATATGGAACTGTCTTGAGGGCTGGAAAATTTCGGTTATAAATTTTCGAAAAACTGAGAGACCTTTACATAAACCAAACTGGGTTCTCAATTATTGATAGTGACCTTCTGGTGTAATTTGTTTTCTAATAGTATCTGATGATACTTAACGGCCGAATGAATCAGAAAAAAAACAACCTTCTTCTTTTACCATCTTTTTATCAACTAGTGAAGCTGGACTTGTTGCATGTATGGAGAGGAAAATGGACAAAAGCTTCGAGAATGATGAGACATACTGTGAGAAGATGGATGACTTTCTGAAAAAAGGATATAGGATAGGACAGTGCATCCCTCTATTTTACTCCATGAATTATTTTGTTTTCATATTTTTTGTTTGTTACTGGTAATTTACTGCACTTTCAAACAAACTCCATTTTTTGGCAACACTTTTATTGTTTGAATGAATTTTTTTACGTTCAAAGTCAAAATGTATTTGAAGTATGCTAATCGTATTTTTTCTCGGTACATAATCTTGACCAATTATGAGTAACCGTTCGGAAATTCCATTAGTGAACCTCTCCTGATCACCATGTATTAGCGCTTGACAAATTCTAAATTTGTGGAGATAAAATTTATTGTTTCACGATTGTCAATTTCCATCTCCCATTTCTGGTATGGAGTTTCATGAAATTTTCTTGAATCCACTTTGCCGCAGGATCTACAATTGGTGAAATTTCTAATAAATCAATTTTCACCCACAATCAAGGTAATGAGAAAATGAGAAAATTTCAACGTAGTTTTGTATTCATTTCGGAAATTGCAACTCATCAAAGTATACCAAATTATCATGCACGGAATGTGAGCACCTTCAAAAAGATTCACCCCTGATCTCAATCAAGACTACTCTCTGAAAGTGGAAATGAGGTCAAGTCAAAAATGTTCACTCAAAATTTTGGTTAAAATACATAATGTTTGTGGTGGTGTGTTTTGAGAGGGGCCCTGCTATAGGCTTATGCCTATAAATGAGGTCAACACAGCAGAATACATTTGTCTATCACCTTTTTTGGAAGCATAAACCGAAGAGTTATGGTTTCACGTCGCCAAATATATTTTCAATATATCAACAGTATAAGTTCTGATACAGTTTGGCATAGGACAGTTTTAACAATACTGAATTGTAATATAGCGAGAGCAAATTTTAACCTATTTATTGTTTTCATTTTTGGAACTACAACTCATCAATATATACCAAATTATTCATGGAATGTCATTTTGGCTATGGAAAACATACCCATATTTATAGGAAGATAACTGAGCTCACTTTCAAACAGATGAATAGAAATTTCATAGTTTCATTATGGTTACAAGAATTACTTCCGACTGTCAAACAAGTTATGAGAGCATTTTTTTGAGAGCTTTTATATCGATAACATTGATGCCGTCTTCATTTCCAAAAATATATTTCGAAAAATCTACACATTCACCGAAAGGATTTTCATACATTTTCTATCTGATATCGAAAGTAGACTAGTTGAAAGTTGAATGTTTTTTATGAATCCGTTCTATCAGAGATCTACCAACTTTTAATATCATTCAGCTTTCGTATTGTGACTGATATGAAAAGTTAGGGTCTATTTTAGAAAACACCAACATTACCTTGATCATGATATTCTCAAGTATTTGGAACTATGACCATAATGTTGAATTGAAAGAAATTGTGATAACAAGACATTTCAACACTGAAAAATACATTGGATTCTACCATACAAATATAATGCAAATTTTCAATTCCTCCTCCGTGGATCACATGATTTTCTCCACCAAATTTTGTGTCATATTCTTGTTCGCGTATTGATATTTACTTACTGGCTAATTTGTTAAATGATTTGAAATGGGGCTAATAATGTCTGATCAAATGAAAAGCAACAGTATGAGCTATATCATTTTAATCCAAGATTAGTTTTTTCTATAATGAATCATTGATTTCTACAAAGTAATGGATTGATCGATTACACTTCAGTAGAATTTCCTTTCTTAGCTGTATAAACATCAACACGATATTTGAGGCCTTGCAATATCTGAGAAGTTATTTTCAGTTGAACAAACTTGGCGTTGAGTCCTCCTCCAGTTTGTACTACGGTACCTCCACCTCCACTAGTGTTTAAGTCATTTGCCTGAAAAAATACATTTTTTTTTAATTTCAATATATTTTCTGTAATGTTTCATGAGTCGAAATTTCAATGATTTTCAAAGTAGGTCATCAGTAATCATAAACAGAAAAGACTGCAGGATGATTCAATCGATCATCAAAACATTGAATCGAGACTAATTTTGAGATAAAACTATCATTGTCTGAGTTATCATCATGGTATTGATGAACATAATATTAATATGTTATGGAACAATTAGATATATGTATTCAAAAATTCAAAGGAAATTTGATGTGGTTCAAAACGTCACGATCACAATGAAAAATTGAAGAGTCCTTGTATTTATAACTTCTTATAAATACTGTTTCGTTTGTCGAGGTGACCATCTGCCTTCGAGAATTATTTTGTAATATTATTTTATGCGTAAATCAAAATAACAATAATATCTGTTAATTTTGAATCATGCATATTGAACATTCAGTTCAAAAGAATTTTAAGCGCAAACAAGAAGTTATTCCATGGAGCTTTCGAAATATCCAACAAATTTCTATATGCAACGAAGAGTATTAGAAATCAATTACTGAAACTGAATTAAGTAAACCTTGAGCCTCATGAATAATTTTATAACATGCTATCTATAGAAACTCTTTCTGATGAGATTAGGTTACATTGAACAACATCACATGAATTGAATTTTATGTCTCTAGATAAACATTTGTTGGTGTGTGTTTTATAGAGATAATCAACTTTTTGCATGGATGTTCCACTTATATACAAGTACAAGATTGAGTTGTACATGAATATTTTCTCTAAACCAGTATTTTTGCTGTGAATAATACAGAATCTTAAGGATACCTACACCTCTCAATATTTTTTTTCGATTATGTTTCGAACATAATGTTTTCCAATTGATGGACTCTTGGATTTTCCAGTCAATCAAGTACTACTGAGCGGTTGGAGAATTTCACATTTCAAAACAAGTACATATGCTGTTGAAAATAATGATTTCTAAGGATGACTATGATCCTTGTAACAAATAGACACAACGTTTAAAATATGTATATTCCATCTCCAGTGGGAATCATCGGTAATGATATGGATTGTAATTCTATAATATCCTGTTGGTTTCCGAATGTTAATTAATCGAAATTTGGTAATTCACTACTGTGGTAGAGAATAAATGAAATCATGTTATAGCAGTATGAAATGTGAATGACATCTTTGAGGAAAGTCAAATGAAAGGTACTCACTATGACACAAGTGATGGGGTCATCTAATAATCCACTTTCAGGAACTCGGATGGTGAGGGTTACAGGTCCAAAGATAGAAAAGGGAACATCTTTGTCTACGTGAGCTACTAGTACTTCCCTGAAATAGAGTTGATTCAATTTTGAGAACTTTTCATTTTATTGTACTGTGAAGAAATACAATCAACGACAATAACTTCTGCTGAATCCTCAGTGTAACTTTTATATTTATGAAAATGTATCGGTACATATCCTCGGTTATCAATTATCATGAATATTTTTTCATTTCTATTCATATTTGGGAATCCATATTTGCCAATTTTCAGAAAATGGATGCTTTCATTTCCCAAAATACGCCTAACCGAAAGGCATCGAGCAGAATGTCTGACCGATTGGACTTCTTCGTTTATTTTCAATTATTCATTTTTCATGAGATTTTATCATGGAAATAATATAAAGATGAACAGTATATTTTTCAAACTATATAGATATTTTTTTTAATCAGTTCTGAATAACAGTTCAGATGTTTGGCCATTAATCAGCAAAAAAATATGCACAAAATTAAACTTTTTCAAAGATTCATCTCATCAGGATATGGTTGGAAGTTGTCATCGAAATTCTTTTAGAATTATCATTAGGTAAAAATGATCTCATTTTCTATATCATAAAATTCAAAATTTCATGTCACGTTAGGGAAGCATCCTACTCAAACCTAAACTTAATTGATAAAAACTTCCAACAAAACTGAAAACTCATTTGTGAAACGTATTTTAAATTATCATGAGATTAGTATTGATCGTTAATATAAGAAACGGAAAAGGTTATTCAAATTCAGAAAAGTAAGAATGATTTATTGTGAGATTATTAGAGCCCACATATTCAAGTTTCATTATTCATGTCAAGAAGTTCCTAAGTAATGTATCACAGACAAAAAATGTTTCACGAAAAAAATAATGAGTTGGAATAAATTCCATGCAATCAATTAATCAGTAACTGAAAACTGTGTGCTCTCAACTTGAAATAATCCTATTTCCATATAAATGTAGTACATTAGGATTCAAATAAAAGCATGAGACTTACGCCTTCGAGTCATCTGGACATTCATAGAAATCACTACCAAGACTTGAACTCAAGATGGCGAGCAATACAGCTACCAAAGAATATTTTCGAAGCATTTTCGTTAAGTGAATTCTTTCGAAACTGACACGGTTAGCAATATTTCCAACAAATTTATAGGCGGCATTTGGAGAGCTGTGGGAACCTAATTGGTGCACATATTTTGAAGTTGTTCAGATATGCATAACGCTAATCTTTTTGAGCGATATCATTTCATCTGTAAATCATAAGGATTTTGAGAGTGTTGCAGGTTTGATGAGGACGCTGATTTGAACATGAGATTTTGATAATTTTCATTTCTGAAAATATCTTCTTCTACAGACAACTGACTTATTACTTTTCAAAATAGGGAAATGAATGGGAAATACTCACGGTATATTTTGCGAATCAATTCGCTCAAAAACAACTTTAGAATCATTTAATATTTACCAATAAGCTAACGGGATACATCAATAGACCAACAGTTACGAAACCGGTGCGAATGAGAATTCCAAAAGCAATTTTTCAGAAGCTACACCTATAGGTTTGCAAAAGTTACCCTGTGATCAAGTCCTGAACTGAAGATTAGATTAGACTAGGTATCTTTATTATGCAAGAGTTTTCTAAAGGCTAATATTTTCAGAATAGTTAACATTTCAGTAATGGAAAGTTACTGTAGAGTCACTGAAAACTATAAACCGTTCCGGACGGCTGAAAGAACAAATAGGTATGCCTTTATTATCCCTGTCAGTATCACGTCAACATGTACATGAAGAGGGTTCTCATTTTTGCCTGAAGAGCGTGCATTTGAAGTTTCGCACTCTAGGAAGTTTAAGAATGGTCCAGAATATTCGAGAGTTTTCTACAGCATTTCACAACATTACGAAACATCTCAGGATTTTTCCCGACATTCGGGAATTGACGGAAAAAAATCTGGAAACATTTTAGATCATTGTGGTACGAGTAGGGGAGTTGAATGTTGGTCTCTCTATGCTAACTCTCCGTTGAACTTATTTAAACAATGTATTGTTTTTCGCTCATTTTTACTGTAAGTATGATTTATAATGTTATTCAATGGCGAAAATATTTACAACTCATTAAATTATAGGCCCTGGAGAAGCTTCCCATTTCCCATTAGAAGCGAAATCTTGGCAAAGTAAAGCAGAGTTTGATTTTTGATTTGTCGACTGAGGGGTCTGATTGTTTGTGGGAAGCGATAGAACGGATCTCTATGTTGATGGTAATGTTTGCGTATCATCCCACTTGTTCATATTATTAGGTCGTTTTTTAATTTCGATAGCCTCTCTGTAGATTTGATGTTTTGATGTAGACTCACCATCAAAACATCGGTTCAACAGCAAGAGCTTCTCTTTAAGTGAACATAATCTGCAGGAATTTTAATAAACTTTAAATGCCACTTTGACACAGACACTACGCTCAGATCGTCTCGAAAATTTGAATGTGTAACTTTTGCATTTCCATTAAAAAATCATGTAGAGGTCAATTTGCACATTTATGATTTATTTTCGGTACATGAATCAACCAACAATTGTATCATAGATGAGTTGCGCTTTTTCTTTCCCTGTCGTTTGACTAAGAGAAAAACTGCGCGATAACGCCCAAAAATGTCCTTTCCATAGGTATATCTTATCAGTGGTACTAGACCATAAATTACACAAGCACTGCATCATCGATGCAGTGCTTGTGTAATTTGTCTCAAATACGCTAAACCAGATGAATGCAATGATACTCATATATCATTAATGAATAAATACGAAGAAAGGTGCCGTAAGGAGTAAATGATCAATAATGAAAATATGATCGTGATTCTGGTTCTATCAGAGATGCGTTGAATGTGATATTTTCTACTATTAATGTAATCCATTTGAAAAATGATGAGCAAAGCATGAAAATGAAAATAATGGGTACCGCTCAATTACTTTAGAAATTGCCTATCTCTTATTGAAAGCGAAATCCATTTCTTAGCTATAAAAAATCGCGTTTCCTCATGTTGTTTTCGAAAGTATACTGATATCAATTGAAAAAAATCACATAGTGATATCTGAAGGACTTCAGGGCCTTCAGATAACGGAAAGCACATTTTGTTCTGTTACCAATTGAATGATTTTATCAGGTATTTTATTTTCATGTAGATATATTTCAATTGCTCATGTTTTCTTTGGTGAGAATTTTTGGATATCAATAATGAAACTTGAATTGTGTAAGAATGATAATCTTGGAAAAAATCTTTTTAGAATAATTTTCATTCCTCATCAACTATTTTTCAATAATATTAAATACCTTTATTTGATGAACTTTCCCTCATTTAACTGTCACAGGAGACCTGATGTTAATTCAAATGGAATTTCGAGAACTCTTTTCAACCATATTCCTGAAAACATACATTTTCAAAGAAAGATACTTTTGTTTCTGTCTTTCTCTTTGGTAATGAGTATTTGTGGGCGATTTTCAGATTGTTATACTATTCCAATACTATTTTTTTCAAGAATGAATGATGAATCTCCTGAACAGCTTGAAAAATATTCTAACCAATTTCTCACCACTTCTGTTATCAAATCTTAAACAGCATACGTTCATATGTTCAAAAAGTTTTAGGTACCTATAACTGAAAATTCAAGACAATTTTTTGAAAAATAAGAGCAATTGATCAGATGAATTTCTGAAACGCATACGAAACCTACTACAAAACCACCTACTACAATTGATATTATGAAACACGTGGAGCGGTTTTCTCGTATTTTTAGGGTTTTCAACCTTCCACTATCTGAAAAGTAAAACAGGGTAGATTGAGAGAGAAAGCGCTAATTGTGAAGTGAAAAGTTCACCATAAAACGATACTGCCTGCCGATTACCTTCTCGTGTGTTTTTTTAGAGACAAATATTCAAATTCAGCAGATTCTCAGTAATACATTTTGTTCTAATTATCAATATAAAGTATAAAATCAAGTCGTTTTCCGCTGTCTGTCCCTATGTATACTTAGATGTTTGAAACTATACGGAACGGATTTTGATTCGGGTTTTTTAAATAGATAGAGTTATTCGAGAGAAACTTTGATATGTATAGAACATGCATAATTCAGTGGAAAAATACTGATTATTTTAAAGGTTTCTAATGTGATATCATGAATCTAATGTGATATCATTTTTTGCGCTTACTTTTCAAACGCTGGCTAGACCCTTCAAGATATATCAAAAAATTCACTACAGTATTGTACACCTTAAAGAGATCTACAAAATGTCCGCGATGGTATATCTACAATAACAATTTTTCATCCTCGGGAAATAATGGCTCATTCACGAAGCGATTTTGACCAATACAGCATCGATCCTTATCCAATTAAGTACCTTTATTACATTGTGCGTTCAATATAGATAAATATGGTCCTCCACAGCATGTTATTCCAATGATTTTTTTCGAAGATATTACAGATTCAAAATGCAGGTCATACTTATCGGTTGCAATTCATGATCAGCAGTGATCGCATTGCACCCATGCGAAGCCGGGGCGGTCCACTGGTATCCTATATAATGGCAATGGAACTATCGATATTTATATGAGCTTTCCATATTTGAATGATATAAAATAATTTTTTGAATTGTATCTATATTTTCATTCAGGGACTAGTTGCGTTGGCAAACTTCTTCATGAATTTAACAAGTTTTGTCATGGCAGGATACAATTCCATTTTATTGTTCTTCATGTACGGCGTGACCAGCCATCAAAATGTATTTGAAGTATGCTAATAGTATTTTTCCTCGGTACACAATCTTGACCAATCATGAGTAACCGTTCGGAAATTCCATTAGTGAACCTCTCCTGATCACCATGTATTAGCGCTTGACAAATTCTAAATTGATGGAGATAAAATTTATTGTTTTACGATTGTCGATTTCTATCTCCCATTTCTGGTATGGAGTTGTCAAGAAATATTCTTGAATCCACTTTGCCGCAGGATCTACAATTGGTGAAATTTCTTGATAAATCAATTTTGACACACAGTCAAGGTAATGAGAAAATGAGAAAATTTCAACGTAGTTTTGTATTCATTTTGGAAATTGCAACTCATCAAAATGTACCAAATCATTCACGGAATGTGAGCACCTTCAAAAAGATTCACTCCTGATCTCAATCAAGACTACTCTCTGAAAGTGGAAATGAGGTCAAGTCAAAAATGTTCATTCGAAATTTTGGTTAAATTACATAATGTTTGTGGTGGTGTGTTTTGAGAGGGGCCCTGCTATAGGCTTATGCCTATAAATGAGGTCAACACAGCAGAATTCATTTGTCTACCACCTTTTTTGCAAGCATGAACCAAAGAGTTATGGTTTCATGGCGCCAGATCTATTTCCAATATATCAACAGTATAAGTTCTGCTACAGTTCGGCATAGGACAGTTTTAACAATACTGAATTGTAATATAGTGAGAGCAAATTTTAACTTATTTATTGTATTCATTTTGGGAATTGCAACCCATCAAAATGTACCAAATTATTCATTCATCTTATTCATCTTTTATCGAAAGTAGACTAGTTGAAAGTTTGATGTTTTTATGAATCCGTTCCATCAGAGATCACGTACCAACTTTTGATATCATTCAGCTTTCGTATTGTGACTGATATGAAAGGTTAGGGTCTATTTCAGAAAACACCAACACTACATGATATTCTCGAGTATTTGGAACTATGACAATAACGTTGAATTGAAAGAAATAGTGATAACAAGACATTTCATCACCAAAAAATACATCAGTTTTTATCATACAAATATATTGCAAATTTTCAATTACTCCCCCGTGGATCACATGATTTTCTGCAGCAAATTTTGTGTCATATTCTTGTCTGCATATTGATATTTACTTACTGGCTAATTTGTAAAATGATCTGAAATGGGGCTAATTATGTCTGATAAATAAAAAGCAGCAGTATGAGCTTTATCATTTTAATCCAAGATAAGTTTTACAAAGTAATCGATTGATCGATTACACTTCTGAAGCATCGATAGTAGAATTTCCTTTCTCAGCTGTATAAACATTAACACTATATTTGAGGCCTTGCAATATCTTAGAAGTTATTTTCAGTTGAACAAACTTGGCGTTGAGT